TTAATAAGTCTTTCTCGTACAGCTATTAATGGCACACTGAACGGTGACGTTACAAAAGCTAAACAAATACCTTATATATTACTAGATTTAAATGCTGTTACTCGCACGTAGCTCACAATGAACGATGCGATGCAATACCATGTGATTTAATTAATACTGTAGATACTATCGTCGCCATTCGAGCCATGGTAGCTCAAGAGTATAGACGCTTGCTCGTTTGCTGTAAACTTCATAGTACGCAGGCAACCCGGGTTTCGTCCCCGCCGGCACCAATGAAATTGTTAATTGCAATTTTAATTTCTGATTTATCACAAGCTTTTCGGTGAAGGAAAACTGCGTGTTAGTGTCCGCTAACACGCATTAAAACACAGCGCAGTTGACAAGACCTTGTCTTACTTTGTGACTTGTCTACCCTTTTAGAAAAATGAGGAAACCTGTGCCCTGGAGTGGAATGTATATAAGCTGTATTTTACTTAACTTACATTATCGCAAACTGATCATCGCAACAACGTAGGTCACAACCATTTACACGTGCGTGGTCCTTCCCCGGTCGAGCCGACCCATTCGTGCTACAACCATAATATAGCTGCTGCGTGGCTCTGCCACGTGTAAATAAAGAGTATTCATTTCATTTTCATTTTATGTAATAGGATAACCGTAAAAAGAGAAAAAATACGAATCATTCTATGAACCCTCACCCTGTAAATCACCCAATCCATCTCCGTCGCCGTCCTTGAAGGAATCTACTAAGATTCTGTAATAAACCGCGTTATTCCACCATGGCATAACCACTTCCCCCACTCCAGATGCCGCAAACACCCCTAATGCGAGCGCGATGAGCCGCATGTTAACCGAGATTGGCTCACTAATGATCATTTACTGTAAACCGTGATCTTTAAGTATAGTGATGGGACGTTGTTGAAAAAATAAGGGTATAAAAATGTGTACTTGTGTATTACCAAATACATAATTCAACTATTGGTCCTCTAGATACTGAATGAAATAATATATATTTTCATAAGTCAACTACTGTAGATGGACTCTCCGGTTAAGGGTAGTAACTGCAGTAACCGACGTTTCGTACCTTGGATGTTGTCGCCCTCGAGATATATTCACCCTTTCATTTAGTTATTGGCCTTATTAAAAAACCACGTTTTCGTTAAAAGAAAATATCGCTTATATTTTATTTAACTTTCTATATGAAAGATGTAAAGGTATATTTGATAGCCAATTAATACTTGAATCAGTTTTCATAAAAGTAGTTACTCAGAAATTTTCCAAGCAAAAAAGTCAAACTTACTTTTATTAGTCACAAAATCTGTGACCTATAGAGAGGGAACTTTTTTATAATCAAGTAGTGCAGTAAGAATTTTGTTACTTTCATACCGGCATTCTAATAATCTTTACCTGTAGTAGCTATACAGATATAATACAAAAATAATCCGGGTCGTTAAGCTTAAGTACCCATTAAATCATTTAAATTTAAATCTGGAACGCGGCGTACTTACCACTCAAGCTCAAGATCCATGTAACTAAAATACCGTAACGTCACAAATGCGGTACGCGGAGTGCACTCTGTCCCGTCACTAGTGCCCGGATGCGCTGTCAGCTATTACCCGGTCGGTAATCGTCCGACGGTTAGGAGACAAATTACGGTAGGCAGTGAATAATATGGTAGTAATGAGGACCTTGCTAGCACTCATCTCTGTCATTTGTTGACAAGCAAAAATTTTAATAGCACATCGTTGATACTACGTCCTTTTTAAAATGAAAATTAAATTTTTTTCAAAAGGTAAGCGCAGTACGCTTTGCAATGGTGACTTTTATTTTGATAAGATATTTCAACAGCATCGTGACAATTTTACGGGACCATATAAATTGCCCCTATAAACTTCATTGGTGTAAAATTTTTATAGTTATACTAGCTTGCCAGGCAAATATTGTTCTATCCTTTTCGACGACCCTTTGTCATGTCTTACTAAAAATCCTTAAATTCGCAAAAAAAATGTTGTGGGTTGGGTTGGACCAAACTGCACACGGTGTGAAAATTTGATTAAAATCGGTTAAGTATTTTAGGAGTCCATCGCGGACAAACAACGTGACACTTAATTTATATATATATATATATATATATATATATATATATATATATATATATATATATATATTAAGATTACTCCCCCATAGATTGCATCATCAATATCCCCTATAATTGCCATAGTTGCCACCTAGCTAATTGGAAGCTATGAGAAACTTTTCTTTCAAAGTTGTGGCCCTGCAGTGGGACTTATATAGGCTGTAACTGAATATAATTAGAAAGGCGACAGAAAGTAAAGTTAAAGTTTAAAGAATTTGCCCGCTAAGCTTGGCGTTTACGGTAAATCACGGGCTGCACTGAAAATCAGGGCTGTGGATGCCCGCAGTTCATATTGAGAGTAGATCTTTATAGTTCGTCTTATTGCGGGCAACGTCAATACTTACAATTAGTTTTTTGTTTTATATTACAACAAGCGATTGAGACTTCGCACGAGTGATTTTCGGATCTCATCAAAATATTCATGTATTATACATATAAACCTTCCTCTTGAATCATTCTGTCTATTGATGAAAACTGCATCAAAATCCGTTGCGTAGTTTAAAAGATCTCAGCGTACGGCCGGCGGGAAGCTACTTTGTTTTATTTTATGTAGAGATAAGCTCTTAGTTTGTATATTTGGGCTGCGTATTTAGCAGGGATGGGAGATATGATAAGGATATAGAACGACGAGTGAATGCGGGAAATAGAGTAAATGGGGCCCTGCACTCTATTGTGAAGAGTCAAAATGTGTCGAAAAAGGCACGTATGGCAATTCACAATGCTGTGTTGGTCCCTACTTTAACATATGGTAGTGAAAGTTGGGTGTGGCAGAAGAAGCACGAGAGTAGAATGAACGCAGTAGAAATGCGGTCGTTAAGGAGTATGTTAGGGCTGAATCTTAATGACAGGGTAAGAAATTGTGTAATAAGAGAAGAGTGTGGTTTGCAAGATGATGTTGTGACCAGGATTAAGAAAGGAATGCTTCGGTGGTTTGGTCATGTGGAAAGAATGAATGAGGAAAGAGTGACAAAGAAAATTTATGTTGCAGAAGTGAATGGCAGAGTCGGAAAGGGACGTCCTAGGCGAAAATTTATCGACCAAATTGGCGATTTATTGAAAACGGGCCAAATTAGGAGTACCCTTAACCGACGAGCATGTATGCGGAGGTGTATGGATGTGAAGGAGGCGAGAGAGGTGTGTCAGGATCGTGCCAAATGGAAGTCTGTAGTCTCTGCCTACCCCTCTGGGTGACAGGCGTGAGTGTTTATGTATTATAAGCTCTTATTTTCATTACATTATTATTTATTTCATGACTATGGCTTAGTATTCTTACTAGAATCACAATTCATGATAAAAGTGTTGTGTTTTAGCGTTGAAATTGAATTTTAGGTTTTTATATTATCATATAGAAGTGGTTGCCACGTTGCAGCTAAATTATGATCGTAGCACGAATGGATCGGCCCGATCGGGGAAGGACCATGCTCTCACATAATACCAGTGTAAAATAGCACCTCAATGATGGTGTGTTTTGTATGTTCAGTGAAGACAACCCGAGACCTTATTTATTTGAGACGAAAAATTCTACTCTAGTGCTCAGGGGTGTGATCGCATCTGCTTTTTGATTCTAAATCAAAGACAGATGTAGAGGTCTATAGGCCATACATTTACATACACCAGTGGACTATGTGCTCGTTTGTCATCCTTTACTATGAATATATATTTTTCGTGTTTTAGATTGTAAGCTAACATAGTTCAAGCAAAGCAAAAAAAACATGACAGCATTACATTCTTTTGCTTTGCAAACGATGATGAAATCAAATATCATCTCCTATTGATTAAAACTACTTTTACGGATTCAATCACGTTTAATTTACTTATAAATTAACTTAGGTATATATCTTTACGTATCTTATATAATATGCTCAATTCCATGGTTAGGCTAAGTGGCACAGTGGGTAACAGTCTAGTTGCGGGATTGTGGGCCGCAGGTTCGATTTCTATTGGAATAAGTATTTGTAGGGCATACAGAACATAATTTATTTTGGATCTGAATATATAATTTATGCATGAGCATTGTATGCAATATTTGCTGTTTTCTACCGTGTCGTGGCAGTGTAAATATATCCCCAATATCGTCCCGTGGTCATTGTAATATGCTGCAGAGGGAAACAAACCAGGTGATGGACACCAGCGTCTTACTATTACTAACTAAAAAATTAAAAACTGCGTTTGTCAGTCCGCCCGGCAATCGTGACCACTATGACAAACGTATAGAGGATATTTTCGTTAGTTGAGCAATTTATGGGGGAGGTCTATGTTACTGTGTTAGTCTATAAAGGTTTAAGGGCTTATGACAAGGAGTTTTGGTTGTGAATTGAACTCGATATTTTTATCAGTTATCAGTAATTTAAATCGTCAAAAAAGTATGCATTAAATTAATTATAGCCTGACTAAATATAAAAGCGATACAACTGAACTATTTTATTCAAACAACTATACTTTTTAATTTGATTGTTGCATTTTATGCTACGCTATGCTTTATTTTTCTGTCTGTCTGTATTATGCTGTCTTTAGATGGGTGTTTTATTTAGTTGGAATGTTACTGGGTTGTTTGGCTCGTTTATCGTTTATCTAACTGTTAGATCAACAAATCAAGCACCGATGCAGAGTAAATAGTAAATTGGATTTGCATTTGCAAGCAAAGCAGTGTTTGCAAATCAATTCACGAGTGTTATTTGTCACATGTTCCAAACTGTGCATATATTTGTGAGTCTATGCTTAATGGCACATATTTTACGAACTTAACGTCAAATTCGTCGTAAAATTAATTTAAATGTCTAACCTATGGGAAAATAAATACAGATTAATCGGCATATTTGATTGGATAAAGATATATTCAGTATAAAATCGAATACTGGATGTTCTATGTCGGAGGAGCTCGTAGCACGAGAGCCTCGCCCGGTTGCAATGTCACCTCGCCGAGTGGTATCGTGTCCCTGAAATAAAAAGTATTTTTAAATTATTTATCGAATATTTTTATAGAATTTATTTTAGTTGCTAGTTTTAATTGTATTTTTTTTAATTTATTTTGTATTCCACGAATTTATTAGTTTTAATAATTTATTTATTTATTTTAATTGCACAAATAGTCGTCTCAAATATTTGTTTATTTTTCTCTTTATTCAAATTCATTTAAGCCTAAGTCAAAATTTTACCGTGACATGATTGATAAAAATGCATTAATTATGGCTCTTTATACTATTTTTGTTATAGAGGCTACAATAAAGCTAAATAAATAAATATAGATAAACCAATGAACCGAATTTAGTTGCCTATAAATCAAATTTAAGTAATTTTTAATATATATAACTCGTGTTAGTTTTTTATATAAATAATATATATATATATATATATATATATATCTTAATATATATAAATTATGTCACGTTGTTTGTCCGCGATGGACTCCTAAACTACTGAACCGATTTTAATCAAATTTGCACACCGTGTGCAGTTTGGTCCAACTTGAGAGATAGGGTAGTTTTTTTGCCCATGAGTGACCCACATTTTTTTTTGCGAATTTAAAGATTTTTAATAGGACACGACAAAGGTCGTCAAAAAGGGCAGAACAACCTCTGCCTGGCAAGCTAGTTATATATATATATATATATATATATATATATATATATATATATATATATATATATATATATAATTCTCGAATATTATCACTTATATAGCGAAAGAGTTGACTACCAAAGAGTCTGCAAGCAAGGCGACCAGCGACAACTTATTTTAAATGATTTAATTCCGCAAACGTATATGTGGCATTAACGTGTGGATTTACTCAAATAAATTATTAGCATAATATGTATAAAATCACTCTAACACTACAGTTCATAGTCAAGATAGGGTCTCCCTAGGGAACGGTTCAAGCGTTATATGCAATTCAACCTGTAAGCATTTCATAGACAAAAGAAACCCCTAATTTGACAGATGCCCTGTGTGCTGTGAGACTGTCCGAATTTGGTCAACCAAGTAATCCCACAGCTTATTATTTTATACCATAAAACGTTCATTGGAAGAATTGTGGGTAGAAACAAGAAATACTAGCAACTTTAAAACTTAGCTTCTAAATTGTAACTGTAATAAATTTCATTAAAATTTGTTCTACGCTATCTAAGTACTTTGTATTAACTTTTAGTAATACAAAATACGATACAATATATAAAAAAGAATTTATAATTTCAATTGAAATTTACATATAAAAGAATTTTCTCAATATAACCAGCGAAATCATTAGATTTATTCAACTTTACTTTAAATTTTTTTAAATTTTTATTTACTGTCAAAGTAACACCTAGGAAGAATTTTCATGGAAACTTAGTTAAATATTAGACGCATAACATTTTGTTCAGGTATTGGATTCTTCAGTAGTTATTTATGATAGGTAATTGTTGTATGGATGTGCTGGCGCTGTCGTCGTCGCACAAGCGAAACACATAGCCTAAATCACGCTATTAAAAGTTTCGAAGTACTGCGCTATATTAAATAGAACAGCTCCGTACTACGCGTAGCGTTAGCTGTTCCGCGGGCTGTACATCTTGCCTGGTGGGAAATCATTCTTTTCACCCATCTACTACGAATTCTAGTGTAAGTAGATTCATGACTCTCTATCTCTACATATTATAAAAAAAGTCGCTTTCCGCCGTCTGTACGCTTAGATCTTTTAAACTACGCAACGGATTTTTTGCGGTTTTCATCAACAGACAGAATGATTAAAGAGGAAGGTTTATATGTAAAACATATGCATATGGTGTCAAGATCCAAAAATCACTCGTGCGAAGCTAGATCGTACCGCTAGTGACATAATATATCAAAAATTATAGATATCAATTCATATTACTAGGTATATCGGTTAAGTACATGTAACAATGTTATAAAATTTTTATCGGTGTCCGATAGATGTAGATTACCACAAGTATAATTGATGCAGTAAAAGATATTCAACGCAATTCCGATAATACATAATCCTGGTTTAATGGACAGGAGATAAAATTATTTAATTATTTAAGCTTTGAATGACATAACTGTTACTATCGAAATATTATATCATCGGTTTGCTAGAACGAGTCCGCGGTTTGATGCTACAGAGTCAAGAGAGAAATTCGGATGGTTGCGCTCAGCTAACTCTATAAGCGGTAGAGAAGTTGTAGTTTATTTAAAAAAACACTGCCAATAACCGTGCCAATAATTAAATTCTTTGGTCGTATGATCATCGATCCGACGTCCGTATTGAGTGAAAGATCACCATATTTAAGTTAACTTTCCAAATGATTATTAAGCTGTAAATCGATGTTATGGTCTACATGTTCGGTAGACACAAGGTTGATCAGTACTGCCTGTGGTTTTCGTTATGATAACGGGCTTCATAGGTGATCTGCACATTTACTCTCCCCAAGTTTATGTCAAGGTCTGCTTTGTTATTCTTAAAGGGTTTTGATCATAGAATGTACTAGAAGACGGTATTGTCGTCTTAATTTTACTCTGGTCTGTACGACCACTTGCCTCTCCTACCGTTTACAGTTTTTTTTTATAGAATAAGCATCACAAAAGAGCACATAATCTACCTGATGGTAAATGGATGAGATCTATCCTCGATTGAGAATCGAAATGCAGATACGTTGTTATCTTTGAAGACTAAGATAAAATGCCTTGTTTCCAGTAAAAAGGTCTCCGGTTCACTACACCCTTCTTATACAGTAGCATTTAGCCGCTATTTTAAGCCGGTATTCCGTGAGAGCGTGGTCCTACCCCGGTCAAGCTGACCCATTCGTGCTACAGCCATAATATAGCTGCAGCGTGGCTCTACCACGTAAAAGACGATACAATTCTAAAAAATATTTTAAGCTTAATCTAACCATAAGTAGCAATTTTTGGCTTTTAGTCATCTAAATGGAGTGACGACCTGGTAAGAAATGCAGGAAGTCGATGGATGCAGGTGGCTCAGGACCGCATCTTGTGGCATTCTTTGGGGGAGGCCTATGTTCAGCTGTGGACTTGTGAAAGGCTGTAATGATGATGATTATAGTAAAGCCATCTATTAGACAGATTGAATTGGTTTCCATAAAGGCTCTTTTTTAGATTTTTTTTTAGAAAATATTCCAGTGTTCAAGCATGCAAGCAAACTATAGGAGTTGCCATATCCTAAAAATGCTATGTCAAGCAATTTAGGGTGAAATGAACGTGATGTATTTCATTTTTATTACCAGAAAAAAAAATAGTTTTCTACTTTTAGAAACATTACCTACTGGTATTACTGTAAATCACTTCAAAAGTTAAAATTATTTGTGCTCGAAAATGTCACAAAAGTATTCGATTGGCGAATTCGGACCTCTAAGTTTCGCAGGCTACTGTCGCTAGCATTACTTTTACAAGTATAACGATAAATCAAGCATTTTTCATTTATTAGAAATGGCACTTACCCAGGAACTCTCTCCGAAAATATACTTGAAGCGTATACTGTCATAGGTTCCGCTAGAAGATTGGTCGTGGATAAATCAACTGTATCTGTTTCTGTGCCTACATTAAACACCAGAGCGTAGGTGTCATAAGTGATTATGTGACGCACTGAGACAAAAGTGTTTTCTGATAACGCTTGAATGTGATGATCGCCGTGAGATACAGCTGGTTCCTTACGAAGTTTTGTAAGAGACTGGTACACCTAAAAAAATAATTTAATTAAGGAACGAAAATTTGGTGGTTTTTCTATTTCATATTTTTTTTAGGTTTAAATAGATTGCGAAAAAATTTTTGGTGTTTGATTTTTGATTTTTTCATAAAATAAAAATACGATAACGTCCTAATTTTCTCGGTAGGAAAAAATTGCACATTAGACTCCTATTAGGTTGGAGTCGCGGAGGAAGAGGAGTGTTGGTATGGCGATGCGCCACTCGCCCTATCCTCCGCGACTCAAACGGGGCCGCACCGTTGAGGCGGTGGTGGTGGGGCTGCGGGGGGAGAGGATTGTCGGTATTGCGAGGCGCCGCTCTCCCTACCCTCCGCAGCCGAATCTTGGTTGGCGGCGGAGCCATAGACCAGATCCGCCGCTGGGGTCGGGAAGGCTAGTACTTCTAAGTGCTTGTTTTTCCTGGCCCCATGGCCTTCTTGGGTGTAATTAGAGCAGCAGTATTAAGCAGATGTAATTAGAGGCCGAGAAGGAAGGCGCGCCATGTGTTCTGGTGCGCCTTACCTGTGAAGGAGAACGGGGTGGAATATTCCGCTCCCGAGGAGGTGCTGCCATGGGGCGGCAGGCGCTGGTGGGGCTGCGGATGTGTGCGAAAGCGTTCCCGTGGCCCTGCCAATAGCGACAAAGGTGGAACACCATGGGGTTTTAGTCGGTGCGAGTCCGACATAACCCGTCCTTGCCCCCGCGAGGCGGGTATGCGTAGGCATTTCCCCATGTACAAAAAAAAAGGCTCCTATTAGTTACATACATTTCTCCATGACACCACAATATTTTTACGAATAAGCTCATGAATTTATTTTTAAGGCATAGTAAATAATCATATCTAAGTTCTCACAAACAATTTTTTTAATCTACAAAAATGTTTTTTAAAAAAAAATGTAAACTATGGCAAATACCCCCCAATGAATAAATACACAAACAGACGGCCCCCAGTCCCCGGCGGCCCCGCTATTCCTGGCTACGGTGGCAACCATGGTAACGGCGGGGCAGGGGGTGCTAAGAATCTCCGGTGGAGGTTCGGTTGCCACCTACGACGACTCGACCTGGCAACATATAACGCACGCACCCTGAGGACTGACGAGAAGATACTGGAGCTGGAAGAAGAGGTAGACAAGTTGCGCTGGCATATTATTGGATTATCCGAGGTCCGAAGAGAGGGGGAGGACACGGCAATCCTCGAGTCCGGCAACTTGTTCTATCACCGGGAGGGCGACCATCTGTCCCAAGGAGGTGTCGGATTTATCGTCCACAAATCTCTCGTCAACAACGTTGTAAAGATTGGGAGTGTGTCGACGAGGGTCGCGTACCTGATACTCAGAATCACCAAACGGTATTCGCTGAAGGTCATTCAGGTTTACGCACCAACCTCGGCACATCCCGATGAGGAGGTGGAGGAAATGTATGAGGATATTTCCAGAGCCATACATTCCTCCAAAACCTACTACACGGTGTTGATGGGAGACTTCAACGCAAAACTGGGCACAAGAGAAAGCGGTGAGTTGAAGGTAGGGAAATTTGGAGTAGGGCAACGGAACCGAAGGGGCCAGCAGCTGGCCGACTTTATGGAGAAAGAGGGACTCTTTATGATGAACTCTTTCTTCCAGAAGCGGCCCCACAGGAAGTGGACCTGGTCGAGCCCCGACGGTTCGACAAAAAATGAGATTGACTTCATTATGACGACCAGACGCCAACTGTTCAGTGATGTCTCAGTGATCGCAAGGGTGAAAACTGGCAGCGATCACCGAATGGTTAGAGGCACACTGAACCTAAACGTTAAGTTGGAGAGGTCTCGTCTAATGAAGTCAACGCTCCGTCCCCCTCGTGCTCTAATCCAGAATCCCGAAACCTTTCAACTCGAGTTACGTAACCGCTTCCAGTGCCTAGAAGATTGCAATGCAGTGGACGATATGAACGACAAGCTCGTGGAAACTGTCCATGCGGTCGGAGCTAAGTTCTGCAAGACCCGCCGCAGAAGAACACAAAAACTCTCCGATCACACTCTTAATCTCATGGCTGTTAGACGGGAGATGAGGCTGCAATCGTCAACAGATTTGACAGCATACAGGCAACTGAACAGACAGATCTCCAAATGCATACGGCGAGACTTACGCAACTTTAATACTTCTCGTATTAAAGAAGCGATCGAGCGGAACCAGGGCTCCAAAGTCTTTGCCAGAGATCTGTCTGCCAGAAAGAGCCAACTGTCAAGGCTGAAGACTGAGTGTGGCAACATCGTTTCCGGGACACCTGAGATTTTGAGTGAGATTGAGAGGTTCTATGGGCAGCTGTACACATCATCGTTGGAGCCACACGCAAGTGTGAGTAACGATCCAAGAGCAAGTCTTATCCGACACTATTCCGATGATATCCCGGACGTCAGTCTAAGCGAGATTAGAATGGCTCTCCAGCACCTTAAAAACGGCAGGGCCCCAGGCGATGATGGAATTACAGCGGAGCTTCTGAAAGCGGGTGGAACACCGGTACTTGAAGTCCTTCAGAAGCTCTTCAATTCCGTCCTCCATGGTGGCACTACTCCAGAGGCGTGGAGCAGAAGTGCGGTGGTCTTGTTCTTTAAGAAAGGCGACAACGCTCTCTTAAAGAACTACAGACCGATTTCCCTTCTGAGCCGCGTCTACGTGCTGTTTTCGAGAGTCATTACGAATCGTCTCGCACGCAGACTTGACGACTTCCAGCCTCCCGAACAAGCCGGTTTCCGAAAAGGCTTCAGTACCATAGACCACATACATACCCTGCGGCAGATTGTACAGAAGACTGAAGAGTACAATCTGCCACTTTGCCTGGCGTATGTGGACTATGAGAAAGCCTTTGATTCCGTCGAAATTTGGGCGGTGCTACAGTCCCTTCAGCGGTGCCAAGTTGACTGTCGGTATATCGAAGTGCTGAAGTGTTTGTACAGTAGGGCTACGATGGCTATCCGAGTACAGAACCAGAGCTCGAAACCTATCCAACTGCAGAGAGGTGTAAGACAGGGTGACGTTATATCCCCGAAACTCTTCACTGCTGCATTGGAAGACGTTTTCAAGCTACTGGACTGGAAAGGATACGGTATTGACATCAATGGCGAGTACATCACTCACCTTCGATTTGCCGACGATATAGTCCTTATGGCAGAATCGCTGGAGGACTTAAGCACTATGCTCAGTGACCTCAATAGTGCCTCCCAACGGATAGGTCTTAAGATGAACATGGACAAAACAAAGATCATGTTCAATGTCCATGTCACACCTATGCCGGTAGTTGTTGGGAGCACTATGCTCGAAGTTGTTGACGAATACGTTTACCTGGGACAAATAGTCCGACTAGGTAAGTCCAACTTCGACCGAGAGGTCAATCGACGGATTCAACTCGGCTGGGCAGCGTTCGGGAAATTACGGCATATCTTTTCGTCAGGTATACCTCAATCTCTAAAAACTAGATTGTACAACCAGTGCGTGTTGCCAGTGATGACTTACGGATCTGAGACGTGGTCCTTCACTGCTGGCCGTATGAGGACGCTTAAGGTCGCTCAGCGAGCTATGGAGAGGGCTATGCTCGGAGTTTCTCTGCGTGATAGACTCAGAAATGAGGATATCCGCAGTAAAACCAGAGTGACCGACATAGCCCAACGGATTAGTAAGCTGAAGTGGCAATGGGCCGGCCATATAGCTCGAAGAACCGATAACCGATGGGGAAGAAAGGTTCTCGAGTGGCAGCCTCGTACCGGTAGGCGTAGTGTAGGGCGACCCCCCACTAGATGGAGTGACGACCTGGTAAGACATGCAGGAAGTCGATGGATGCAGGTGGCTCAGGACCGTGCTTTGTGGCATTACTTGGGGGAGGCCTATGTTCAGCAGTGGACTTGTGAAGGGCTGTAATGATGATGATGATGATGAAAAAAAAATGTAAGGGGCTTACTTAGTATTTTTTTCCGAGCGCTTGCTCGGTACATCTATATCATAGTTTGCGTATTGTGAAATCATTGCATAACTTTCATTTTGAAACTTCCTCAGTCATCCGTGAGCTTCATCGAAAAAGGGATAAGCCACGCCACTAAAACTACTATTCATTTTCAAGGTATCCTCATAAAACTTGATAGAAATATCGTAAGTAACTAAAAGGTTTTTTTTTATAGAATAGGGTGACAAACGAGCACACAGTCCACCTGATGGTAAATGGTTGCTGCGGCCTATAGACATCTGCATCTATCTTCCATTACAAATCAAAATGCAGATGCGTTGTCACCCGCGAGGACTGAGATGGAATGCCTCATTTCCAGTAAAAAGGGTCTCCGGTTCTCTACACTCACCATACGAAATACAGCAGCATTAAGCTACTATTTCACGCTGGTATTCTGTGAGAGCGTGGTCCTTCCCCGGTGGAGCCGACCCATTCGTGCTACAACTATACTACTAATATAACTGCAGCATGGCTCTACCACGTAAATTATCTTTAGGTTTATTACTTAGTATACTATTAAGTATATAAGGTTTATTATTATTTTTATTATTAATTGAGGTACCAAATGAGTTTGTAATCAACCTGATGGTAAATTGTTACTGCAGCCCGCATACACCTACAGCCAATTTCCAACAAAGACAACTATAAGTGCATTGTCAACTCCGAGGACAAGAATGGAATGCCTTATAACTCTTCAAATTGGATTACAGCAGCTATAATGTCGTATTAATAAAGTCTTTATTTTAATTTTATAATATAGCGGTTATAAAAGAACGTCTTGCCCACCTGATGGCAATTAGATGCTGTATCCTATAGAAAACTAAATCTATCCTCAATTAAAAATCAAACTGTAGACGCGTCATCATCCCCTCAGATTAAGGTAGTAAAATTAAGTAGTAATAGAAGAGGACTAAGAAAGTAGTAAAAAGGGGCCTCTAGTTTTCTTAATTCAGCATACGAAACAGCATAACCACACAGCAGCATTAAGTAACTATTTGACGTTGGTATTCTGTTAGAGCGTGGTAGAACCACCGGAACACCCGGGTCGAGGCCATACATTCGTGCTACAACCATAATTCAGCTGCGGCGTCGATCTATCATGTTAAAAACAATAATGTTTAAAATAAATGAGATTAATAACATGATATTTTACCTTGAAATGACTCCGTTCGGCTTCCTTTTGCGCTTGTAGGTTTATCTCCATGTAATCTTCTGCCACCGGCAACCACGTAGATTGACTAGTAGAGAAGCCAGCGCTGGTCGAGTTGTTCCAATGGTACGGAGTCCTAGCTGGATCCCTCGAATATTCTAAATAGTTGTCTGGGTTGCCTTGATTGCAAGCGGCCACATCAACTGTATCTTCCCAACTGACGTAACCGTCCCTCATTCCGATTTCCTCTCCTTGATAGGTTATCGCTACACCAGGCAGCATCATGTTCAGGCCGTTGAGGCCATCTACCATATTGGTCCTGAACCTTGACGGCATTCTATTATTGTCGTGGTTGCCAAACTAAAACATATGAAGTTTTATTATATTAGCATCAACCGATGGGTTTAACTCGTTTACCATATTCATTCGCTTTCCATTATAGACTATTAAAAATCTAGTGATAAATATAGGCTTTCCTATCCAACCTTCTTTTCTCAGATTGCGCTAGAGGGGGCATATTTGCCATAGTTGTTGTGGTGAATTTACAACTGTAGTTTTTTATTTTTTACCTACCTTCAGTTTTACATTGTTTTTACGACATCCACTTGTAGGATAGAGGTATTCCTACATCGATACACGGTTTATGTAAACACGTAACAAGTAATTATTAGTATTTTAACGCACTAGCTGGTACCCAGTGCGTTGTTGCCACAAAAGAAATAATTGTGGAAATATCGTTTTAAATTTGGAAGACTTATATTGTTTAAATGGGAATGATAACACATTTATTTAAGTTAAACGATATAAAACTTCCGAATAAATTTTTCGGTACTATACGCGCGCCACCTACTGTATGTTAATTGTAATATGCCTATAACCTCGCACAAGTACAAGCAATTATATATTAGATTATAAAATAAAAGTAGTCAGAGTTAAATAAATATCAGAGTTGACACATTAAACCACCAGTGATTTTAAGAAATATAAAAATACGTAACATAAAATCTACATGTAATATCACTGGGTAGGATTATTTTAGTAGTTCAGTAGCCTTTTCCGCCTGGGAATCTATCTGAGTAGGTATCGCCCTAAGTAGTGCTTGCATTGCTGTGTTACAATCTGAAGATAGAGATCCAGTGTGATTACAGGCTGCGAGGCATTACATGTTCAATTTTAACCGTGAATGACAAACGTAACTGTAGGTTTCTTTGTTTTAAGTTGGTTATAAGTGTCCGTGTGCTGTATTAGGTATACTTACTATCATCAGGTAGACCGAAGTTTGTTTGTTATTTCAGTTTTATAAAAAAAAAACAAACTTCTATTTAAACTGTATATATATATATATATATATATATATATATATATATATATATATATAAATAAAATACAGCCTATAAACGTCCCACTGCTGGGCACAGGCCTCCCCTCATTTCTGAGAGGGTTTTAGGACAAGGAAGTGTACGCCGCGCTGTCCCAATGCGTGTTGGCGAACTTCACATGTCTTCGAAATATTTCTTTTCTTATTCCTCAGACATGCAGGTTTCCTCACGATGTTTTCCTTCACCGCCGAGCACGTGGTAAACAGCACTTAAAATTGCATTTAACAATTTCATTGGTGCCGGCGGGGATCGAACCCGGATTACTCCCATTCTGTTATATTTACAGCCAGCGTTAACCATCTGAGCTACCACGGCTCTTATATATATATATATATATATATGAAATTAACAATGCAACTTGTAATACTCTTATTGCTTACTTACCACCCAGTTAGCAACTTGTCCCCGCGGCATGTAGGTCAGCCATCGGTTTATGACGTACACAAAGTCTCGAGCGTTTGATTTGGCAGAGAGGCTGGTGATAAAGTCAAAATTGAAGGGAAAATGTGCCCCAATGCGACCGCGTTCGTCGCCGTAATACAGCATAGTCATTGTAATGTTGGCGTACGCTTCAGCTAGAAGAACTCTGAAAAAGAAATTGGGGAACATAAATTGAACAATGTAATGTTAACTACGCTGTAATGTATGTGTAATTTTAATCGTAATAACTAACCAACTGCGCAAGATAGGATTATAGTGCACATGTGTGTTTGAGCAAACACAGGTGCAGTCTTTATTCCTACACTCTTATAGTACGACGTGACGGTAATCCGACACACCCAGAGAGAGAACAGCCGCAGCAACAACGGTATTACGTACTTTTCGAGGAGGATTCGAGTGAAATACCGCCTACTAAACTTTTTACCCTTTTTTACTGAAAATGAGGCATTCCATCTTATTCCTCGCGGGTGACAGCGGATCTGCATTTTAATACATAATCGAGGAAAGATATAGATGTCTACGGGCCACAGTAACCACCTACCACCAGGTGAACAGTGTGCTCGTTTGTCATCCCGTTTGTCGTTTGTCCAAAAAAACTGCTACAGAGACTTTCTTGACAGAAAACTCAATAACTCACTTTGGGTCGATCTTTGGATAAACCCGGGATAACCAGACCTAAGAGTCAGTCATGTAGCATTGTACGTAAGAGCTGGGAATAGACCTATTTGTGTATTAAGTGCAATACCTTGTGCATTTTTTTTAATTTACGCTGAAGAGTCGCGGTCACAGGTACTGTAAACAAATTGCCATGTAGATTGTTTGAGAGTATCATCCTCATTTCTACAGAACATCACATATCCAATGCTGAACAAGGCCTCCCCCAAGAAATGTCCTGAGCCACCCATAACCGTCGACTTTCTGCATGTCTTACCAGGGCGTTACTCCATCTAGTGAGGAGCTGCGCTACACTTCGTTTACCGGTACGAGGCTGCTGCTTGCCAATGTCTCAATTGACCGAACCCGATGGGGACGTCGGTTTAGATTGATTCTTTGAGCTTTGTAGCCGGCACATTGCCACTTTAGCTTATTGATTCGTTGGACTATGCCGGTAACTCTGGTTCTGCTGCAGATATCCTCATTACAATACCTATCACGCAGAGAAACTCCGAGCATAGCATTTTCTGTAGCTCATTAAGTGACCTTGGGCTTCCTCGTACGGCCAACAGTGAAGGGCCGCGTCTCAGATCTATATGACACCTGATTTGAGAACAAAGTACACTATAATTTAACTTAACTTACTTAGTTTCCGCTTGGTTATCTTCTTGCCATGCGTCAACGAAATCTCTCCATTCATACACAACATCGTAGAGCTCTATTAGATCTCTAACATACTCTTGAGTAGTGTACCCAGGCTGATCACTTGTAAGAAACATGTTGCCAGTTAATGGTTCATCTGGGTATACACCGCCATGGTCATTTGGATCAGCTTCAAATAGATGGGGAATAGCATCAAGACGGAACCCGTCCGCTCCTTTTTCTATCCAAAATCTCATTATGTTCAACATTTCTTGTCGAACTGCGGGCTCGCGGAAATTAAAGTCGGCTTGCTCTATCGCAAATTGATGTAGGTAGTACTGTTGGCGTACTTCATTCCATTCCCACACGCTGCCTCCGAATTGGCTTATCTGTATTTTAATTTTAGTTGTAAATACAATTCTTAATATATATATATATATATATATATTCTTGTATATATTTTCCTTAAGGATTCGCGATGCCAAAACGGTATCTATGTTTAAAATACCTGATAAAGAAAGAGCGCTATCTTTTACACCATTTTATCATGGAATAAGCAGTGCCATTGTAGATAATATGTTATTTTTAATATTTAAATAAATATATAAAAATATATATTCACATAATATCGTAACAGTGTATATATGTATATATATATATATATATATATATATATATTCGCTGTTACGATATGAACACAGGTCTCATATTATCACGATATGGTACAAGAAAATATCGAAATACAATACTAAATCAATCAGCAGTATTTTACTGATATGAACGCAATAATGATAAAAACTGCAAATGCCAATCCACCACCCAAGCGTGATAGATATGGCACAAATATCCTCCCTATGAGGCAATATGGAGGAGGCCTCATTCAACAGTGAGTTTTTGACGGGCTGTAAAAAATGAATGAAAAAAAAATCGTATATAATGTTTCTTTTCTTTCATTCCACTATACAGCTATATTATGGCTGCAGCCTAAACTGGTGACTAGACCGGGAAGAATTAAGCTCTCACAGATTACCGGTGTAAAAACCCAGTAACCGTACGATAAGTGTAAGGCCCGGTTTACATTTTGAGAAGTGACAAGTGCGAGTGGAAATTACAACTGACAAACGACAAGTGCTTATTGTGTATTCATTCCCACCTATCACTTGTCAATGCCTGTTCACATGCATTAAGCACTTATCATTTGTCAGTTGCACTAGCCACTCGCACTTGTCACTAGTAAGTCCGTATGATATACCCTTTTTTACTGGTTACAATAGGTAAAGCAGATGTAGGTGTACATGAGCTACATTATTTACTAACACTAACCTAATGTCAGGCGGCTGCGTGGTGTCGTAGCTTAACAGTGACTTGCAGCGCTAAGAGACGCGGGTTCGAATCGCGCACGGAACAAGTATTTGCCTGGCCTACAAATAATTGTATCGGGTCAGGATCTTTGTCCTTTTGAAATTTATGTATGTTAACTGCCCCTAAGATGCAGGAAAAATCCTAGTGTGGAAGTAACGTTTTAAAAAAAAGATAAAGATGATGAACTATGATAATTTATTAGTCAAAGAATGTATGTAACTTTCGCCATTAAATCAAATTTTGCTTAATTTAAAAAATCTCATTTAAATGTAATCTCTAATCAAAATAACTTTTTTTTTAAAAACGTTACCCCTACACTAAGTTCTGTATCGTAGGGACAGTTTACAAACATAAAGCCAAGGACAAACATCCAGACCCAGAACAACTATTTGTAGGCCATACAAATACTTGTCCCGTGCGGTATCCGAACCCGCGACCCCCAGCGCAGCCACTCATTGCTAAGCCACTGCGCCACGGAGTCGTCACCAACCTTTAAGTATTGGTCAATTACAGATAGACTTATAAACTTTGTAAAATTGAACGCATTACCCAATTTTGTCAAAAATGGAAAAAATGGAATAGGCTCATAGAAAGGTCAACTCGAAGAGATTCTTAACAATAGTTAGGTAGTTATTTTGTGTAATTTGTCAAGATGTTTTAGATTGTGATGTAATTTTATGCGAGAAGTAATAAATTATTCTATATATTTTTTTACGATTTCATTGTTTCTATCTGTTGAAATTGGGAATTTTAAAGTATTTAATAAAATAAACATCAGGGTTAGCTGAACTAAGTAAGTGGTGCAAATATGAGTCTCTGAGAGATTACTTCTACATGTTTGTGCCATTTGCGACAGAGACTATCAGTCGGCGGGGTTCACGTGCGAGGAAGTTCTTAAAGGAACTGTATTTGCAACTGGTTACGCTGCTGGGGATAAGAGGGTTGGTTCTTTTCTCACTCAAATGCTAGCTATAGCTTGGTATAGCCATTCAGCGAGGAAACGCAGCCAGCATTCTTGGCGAGAGTATTTAGTTTTAGTTATTTTATTATAGTTTTTATATTTATTTCAATTTATGTAAAAAAACTTCATGTATTTAGATAATACATGAAGATGATATCAACAAGTATTAATTAATAGAATTTATTTAAATATTGTTAAGGAAAAAAAATGGCTATAATAATCAAAAAATACCCAATTAGATGGAACACGACTGTTATTCTCTGAATCAATCACTGGATCTGCCCACACGAAATAGTTTTCGTATCCAGACTCCCCTGGCCACGGACCGTTTGAAGTAATCTGATTCGGTACTCGCGTGGTTTGGTACGTAGTCCAAAAGAACCTTGATTCCTGTTAAAATAAAGAGCATTTGAGTAATTGAGCACGTGTACAAAGCCGTATTCTATTAGGAGTGTTCTCAGGAACTACATGTTTAATTTTTTTCTTCTATTTTTACCATCGGACAATAATAAAAATAAAAACCTTCTTTTTAACCGACTGCACCAGAAGGATGTTAATGTTTTTCGAGAATATGTATGTATGTAGGTATTTCTTTGCCACGCTCTATAGCCTAAACGTCTTGATTTGATTTTAACATATGGGATGTCGTCAGATTTGTCTCAGTTTGGGACGTGATATATAGATTTTTTTTCTTTTCAGTAAGCTTTATAAGCTGTCGGGTTTTTTATTACTATTTTAACTTTTAAGCTTGTTCTATTACTTACCCAGTTCATGCGCTCGTGAAACAAGTTCTTCAAAGTCAGCCATGGTTCCATATTCATAATGAATATTGTAGAAATCGCTGATGTCGTAGCCAAAGTCGATCATCGGCGAGGTGAAGATCGGTGACATCCATATCGCACCAACACCAGCCTCGACGAAATGTTCCATCTCACTAGTAATGCCTGTTATCAGTGAATAGGTGGATTTAGATGGTAGCTCATCCATTCATCCGTTTGTAACCCTAGAAGAAAAAGGGTAGATCTCTCGCCAGACAAGATGTTCTGCCTGGGGAGCGGCCAAAGCTCCAACAGGTAGTTCGGAGCTATTCTATAAATATTGCTTTACTTCAGAACTTTGATAGCGCGATTTAGGATTCGATGAATTTCGCTTGTGGCGCGACGTCAGTTTTTTATTATTTTAAGTTGTTGTCAAGAAAATACTGCGGTAGCTTATTTCCTATTTCAGTTTCTTTGTGTCACTTCTTACGAGAGCTACGGGACGATATGGCCTATGAATATGGGTGATATTCTCACACCGCTACAGTTACATCAGTTTATACATAAGCTACATACAGTTAATCGAAGGTATGCTGAACATAGGCCTCGCCCACAGATTGTCTCCTAGAGGCTTATTTACCTTCTTCATCAGGCCGTAAAAGTCAACTACTGGTCAAGGTTCCGTGAAGTGTCAGTGTAAGAATATCCACTAGCCCAAATCATCCCGTGGGTGTTGTGGGTGCAGCCCACATCTCCTGATTTGTTTCCCTATGTCGCCTCTTACGACACCCGTAGGATGATATAGGGTAGTGGATATTTCACAACCACTATACTGTCAAACTTTGCCTTGACTTTTGTAAATTTATAAAAGTGTAATAAAAATGATTCCGACCTTTTAAGTCTCCGATTCCATCGCCATCTGTATCTTTGAATGAGCGCGGATAGATCTGATATATAACCACATTTTCCCACCAGTCCAAATTCCTCAGCTCTGGTGGTGACGGGCCCCTTCCTATAATAGCCCATGTGACGGTCCCCACCACCACTCCAACCACAACTGCAACAGCCACCACTATCCAGGATACTTTCGTCCACGACGGCATTTTGACTAGTGATAGCTTTAGGTGGGGTTTAATCTTATAAGAGTGTTATCATTGAGTATTTTTATCTACTTATTATATTGGACTTATATAAATTAAGAACAATAAACTAATATTCATTTGAAAGCATTGAAATCAATTTATGGCACGTTATCAGTATTATCTGTATATTTCTACGTGGTAGAGCAACGCTGCAGCTCTTTTATGGATGCAATACGAATGAGTCGACTCGCCCAGGAAAGGTTCTGGTTCACACAGAATACTGGTGTGAAATATAAACTTAATGCTGCCGTGTTTCCTGTGGTAAAAGATGGGAGCTGGACAATATATTTACTGATAAAAAAGCATATTATCTTCTAACATTGGTAAAGGATAGATGTCTATGTCTATGGCTACAACATTCACTAACCATCAGGTGGACTTAGTGCTGAAAAATGGTATGTATAAATACGTAATAATAAAAAATTACATTTTATTTTTAATAATGTAAGGGTATATGATATATAATTGTTAATTTATTAAAAAAATAAACGGCATTGGTACGGACGACTGTCTACGAAAAGTTCGTCTAGAGTTTTGTAGGACCTTCCTATGAACATCCTCCTTCTAAACAATTTTCCTTTTGGAGACAGTCTGTACTACCGAGTTTTCCCATCGCTTGAGATTGGGAGGGAAGTCCTTTGTAACATTAAAACCTTTGTATAATGAGCAATATATAACTAAATATATTTTATTAGTGCCGGCGGGAATCGAAACCAAGTTGTACACGCACTGTAAAATTTACAGCTAGCACCTAACTCCTAAACTACGACGATCTTTATCTCGTATATATGTCGGAGGATAATTAGATAAACCGAATTTTCTACAAAAATCTAGAGATATCATGAAAACACGGATGATTAAAAGATTGGCTGAATCTGTTCTAAAACCGAATCAGCACGCCCTGACTCCACGTATTCTTGTCTGCCCTACCGCTAGAGCGTTTTTGTAGGTAGTGAAGCTGTAGGCTCGGAGGGCGAGCAGCCACTGGCCGCCGTAGCAAATTGCAGGTACCCGTGCGTCAAGTGGCTGAGGCTAATAAACCAAAGCTGCGGAGGTGAGCTTTGCTACAAGCTATTACAGAAGTAACTTTGGGTCAATATTGCTGTGTAAATATAGTTATAATTTTACGAAAAAAGGATCATTACTCATAAACTATACGCCTATAAACCAAAATAAAGCCAATCACAGTTAAGTATTATCAAAGTTGCAAAACCCCTAATCTTTTTTTATTTAAATTGAGAAATGTCATAGCCATTGTCTAATTATCCGTGTTTTATATCCCTATCTTTTTGTGGAAAATCGGTGTATATCTAATTATATTAAACAGTCGATATATGAGTATTTCATATATTCATAAATCCGCCATTCGACTACTGTCGTGAAGCACATCCACACAAGCATTTTAAGCTTATCAGGAGTGGTTAAAGGGATTATTAGTAATGTTGACAGCATTTCTAGTATTTAAAAAAAACATTGGACGTAAAATAGCGAGACTTGTAATATTGTGTAATGGAAATCGAAGAGAAATTATAAATAAAGAGCGGGTCCATTATTTGGTTACAATATGTATTGTATTGAGAAATGTGGATAATGAGCGACTTTGTGTTTGTCTTGACAATGCTTTCGACAATACCTGAAGGAAAAGAATTTTCATTCTAATACATTTGAATTGTAAATTCCAATATTCTTTATTAATTTAATTATGTTTATGATTTAGAAGCTCATTTTTAAGTTTAGATATCGGTTTTGATTTGCATTCCAATCTAGAACCCACGAAATACTAGTAAAATTAAAGATATAGTATTATTAGCTAAGATTCGCGTAATACTATAAAATAATGTGTCTTACCTATTTTGAAGAGCACCACCCTCCCTCAATTGCGTATACTATCCCCGTCACCACTAATTCCAGCACCATTAGTTCCTACACTAATGCACTAGAAAAAGCACACCACCGTCGATTGTTATTATATGTAAATATCAGAAGGACACATTAAAAAACCTGAAAAATGACGTGATGTGCGTTGTTAATTTGTTTAAAATTTCCAACAACTTTAGGTATACAGAAATTATAAAAAATATAATCATCATCATCATCATTACAGCCTTTCACAAATCTACTGCTGAACATAGGCCTCTCGTAATTTAACGCGAATCCACTCAAAGCAGACGATAAATTGTTATTTTCTTGTGGATAACATACCAACCATAAAATGAATAACATACCAACTAATTAGGGTTAATTTCGCTAAAATATATTATCATTAATTAACATATGATATTAATTGACTTAAAACAATCAGCAACTTCTCTGTCATTTTTAATGGATACATGTAATTTATCTATAATACCATCTATATAGCATTAGAAACAAAATTTCAATGAATTGGTTATACAGAAAAGGGCCAAGGAATGTATAAAATCTATGCATGGAAGAATTCTTTATTCTAATGTTAGTTTCATTTACTTTATCTTTACGTCTTTTATCAGTGACCTCTCTTCTGTAGGAAAATGTTAATTGTTATTTTAGTAGAGTACTCATATAAATAACTGGCGTACTGAGAGGACATTATAGGATTTATATAAGACGTATCCTAAGAGATAACATTGATGTATTTGTGTATTAATATAGTTGTATTACCTATGGCTCTTCACATATTTTTATGTAACATTGCTTTCTATATTTTTACCGGCTCATCACTTATTTACAAACAAAAACCATTTTTTTAGCTTTTCTACTTACATTTTAGAATCAATTTTTTATTATAGTATATACTGAACTATTTTAATTAATCTTGATGAATTAAATCTCAGCGTTCAGAAGTACGAAAATAATAATGAGATTCTAGAATAGAACGTAAAAAGATTTATAATATTGTGTTCCCTTGGAGTCACGGAATTGATTTCAGATTTTCATTCGTTCCCATTAGACAAGAAATATCAAGAGACATTTATAAGATTGGAGGGAGTGCGTAAAATCAAAGGAAAGGCACTCGTTAACAGAATCAGCTTTCAAAACGGGCGGAGTAAATGAAAAGACACCGAACGTGGAATGAACTTGATTTTATTGAGTTATTGTAATGCTTCGTTGTGAGAAAGCGTAATCACGGTTGAAGGAGGATCTATAGTTGTAATATCTCGTTCCATGCGTGTCGAGAGGAATGGTTTAAAGGAAATTAAAGATTATTTTAACCGGAGAAAAAATAAAATTTTAGTGCGCACTTTTTCAACGAAATCCTTATCAGTTCTTGCGAAACCGCAGGCAAGATTGAGTCCGTAACGAACGATTATACTTTCTTCTGAAAAAATATTTTATTTGTTTTTTATTTATACTTTCATGCATAAAGTAGTACATATGGCGGACTTAGTGACACAGGGCATTCTTTCTCAGTTCGCCATTAGGCAAAACAGAGATAGACACATTATAAGAGGCGATACAGCAATAATGTCCTCCGGGCCTAATTTCAGTCAGGGTGGCCTGCTGCAACAAAGACAAACCACCGGCGCAGGACAGGATTATAGTGTCCAGGTATTTGCGCAAGCACAGGTGCACTCTCTATTCCCTCACTCTCATAATCCGATCGAACGGTAAACCGACACGACTGGAGAGAGATCAGGCGCAGGACCAACGGCTTTACCTGTTTTCAGAGGCACAGGGGTGAGACACCGCCAACTTCCTAACTACTACTAAGAATTTCTTGACGGAAAAACTCAATAAACTGATTTTTTGACCCAACCCCGGATTCAAACCACTAAACCAACGATGCATTCAATATGTTAGTGGTGTATATATGATAGTAGTAAGTCCCCTCACAGGAATAATCTAATATCTTATCAATAAAATAAGTAGATTTGAAATCCACTATCGTCTTAACACGGGATTAGTTCGTTTTGATAATTTATTTTTACTCAGTGGGCCGTGGTGCGTTCAAACTTGCAACAGTTTTTTCACACGCTTACAGATTATTCTAACATATCCAATTCAGCCAATTCAGCTAAATACTAAGAGAAGACGCTAGTAGACACATCACACCAATCAGATAGTATATTTCCAATACGCACGGTATGCTGGCACCTTCGTATATATAATGAGAACCATTGCTGAGCTGAAGGAGAGATATTCAAATGATAAAGAGGAGCTGATGTCATGATCAACAGAATTAAATGCGTTAGAAAAATCAATTAAGATGAGAACGGTTAGTTTTGATTGAACAACGATTGTTAAATTTCAAATGACAGATGCAAAATGATTATACTAACTTCTCTGTGAATAATATATGTAGAATTGGTATATATTAAAAAAATACGTGTGGCACTCGGTGACTGCCACGGTAAAGCTATTGCATAGCATTTTTTATCAACTTATGCAATTATAATTATTTATTTATTTTATTTATGCAGTTAAGTCTTTGATATTAAATCAAGTTACACTTTTTGAGCGTGGTGACCGATAAGAAAACAATTTTTTTTCTCTTATTGAATAAATGAGAAGTTAATATTGTTTAAAATATTTTTAATATCTTACATGTAGGTTATTCAGGAATTTTTATCATTGAGTTAGCAGCTAGTGTACACGCATACGTCTAGTCGCACGCACACAAACACCGTGCCGAAGTCTGCCGAGTGCCGAAGTCTGCCGAACTGAAACGACGTTAGACGATGCACGGCTTTTAACGCCACACCTCCGTGCCCGTCGGAGTGGGGAGCGTGAGGTTTTTTTCGTTACGGAATTTCTGGATTCGGTCCCCGCGCTCAAGGCCCGCGATAGAAGCTATGCAATAGCTTAACTGCCCAAGTTTTAAAACTTATTTATGTAATAATACGAATAAATGCACCAGTGCCAATCATATCCTGGGCGGCAGAAGGCCAGTCTCCGTTTATATTGACCGCCGTGACCGCAATTTAGTCTAAGTAAAGTAAAATAAAATAGTTTCACAGCTGAGCACAGGCCTTCTCATTTCT